CCCCGTGTAATGGAAAGCTGTCAAGACTTGTAGGCGTTGTGATACACTAGTCATGTGAGCTTAAACACTAGATCTCAGTTTTCTCCTTTATACGGTGAAAAGGTTAGATAATATATCCCAGCTCTTATTTTGTGATATGTAATACATCTGAGGTATCTTTTTCATCCTAGCTACTGTGTTTCTCTAGGTACTAGCATTGCAGCTCACTTGAGTATAATCTTTATAGCTGAGTTGAGTTCTACGTCAAAGAGAAGAATCACTCTCTGGATAGTTTCCTTTCTGCCAGATTTAAGTGTTAAGAAATCTGGCATATAACTTATATATAACATTTTAATAAAAATTGGGTTATGACCTGGAGACATTTGTTTGGGATTTGCAGATTGTGTGACTGCCAGTTTCTTTTTTAATGATGTGGCTAGTTGGACATTTAAGTATTTATATATCACTGACTAATTAAAAGGGTATAGTGAAATACTACTTAAAAGAAATTGTGGTTTGTATTTATTTGCCATGCTCTACAGTTTACAAATATTTATTTATCTCTTGACTTTCTCTGCATCCACCTCATGAGTCACATTCTAGTGAGAGTCTTAAGACTCTTTGTTGTATATATTTTTCTTGTACCTCGTTGGAGGGGAAAGCTGAAGCATAGATTTTATATGCTTTTATTTACAGGAAATTATATAATAGGGCTGGTGGTGGTGGTAAATCTCTGTGTGTTAGAAAACAGGGAAATGGGGATACCAGAAACCCATAAAACTCTGTGCTAGATTGAAAGAGTTGGGTATTAAATTATTTCTGGTATGTTTCCTGACTCTGAGTCTATCATAAGATATTGCAACTGGATATGAGTATTCGTTGGATTTCCTTTTTACAGGATGAAGGAGTTGTTAAAGAAATTCCTATTACTCACCACGTTAAGGAAGGATATGAGAAAGCAGACCCTGCACAGTTTGAGTTGCTCAAGGTTCTTGGTCAGGGATCCTTTGGAAAGGTAATGAATGCTGTTTTCCACATTTGTTTATCTTCTAAACATTTAGGAAAAAGTGTACACATAGATAGAAATCTGTTAAATGTGCCTTTTCTAGATTTGTCAAAGGATGCATACAAAGATAACTTCCTAATTTTACTCGTCTTATTTCTGTTGTATTTTTAGTCTCATTTATTTATACTTCTCTATAATAATCTATGTTTTCCAATGCCCTGGGATCACTTATTTTTCTAGGGAAAATATAGTGTGTTATTTATTAGCTGCCTAAATCAAGGTAGTTTAGTTTTTCTAAAAAAAAGGTTATAGCTTTCCTGTTCACCTGCTATCATGATCACAGCTTGCTCTCTGCTGGTGATTTCATCTGTATTCCTTAGCTCTATCACACAAATCAGAATGTATATATCAATTCATGTATAAATTCATGAATTCATCTATCATTGGCTAAAGCAGTATATGTGTAAAATATAGGAAGGGTAGGTACAGAGTTATATGTGAATTATGTAAAACTCCTTCCTTTCAAGGAGCTTATATTTTAAGAGAGAAAACAAAATGGAGAAAGATTATCTGTGAAACTCATTATTAAAATTGTTTTCTTAAGTGCTCAATGGCATATGATTTTTGGGAAAAAAGTATGTAGGTCTTGTTTCTGCTTTTTGTGAACCTAACATCTAATACATGAAAATAATTTCAAAGAAGAAAAGTAAAGCCATTGAGCAGTGGTGATTTATTATGCTTTGAAACATTGTGAAAGAAAGACACTTACTGAACATCCAGTGTGTGCCTAACAGTTACAAAAGCAGTATTGGTGAATATAAGATAGACATAAGTAGGCCAATATCTTTGTGATATTGATATAACATTTAAAATATAGAGAAACATTTCCAGGACACAAAAAGGACAAATTAAGGTGGATTGTAGTTTAGCAGTGAATTGGTATAGGAGATATATGGAAACAAGGAGATAGGACTTGAACAGTTGTTCTGGGGAGAATAAAACTAGAAGGAGCTTTTAATAGAATGTGTGTGTGTGTGAGAGAGAGCATGTTTATAGAATTGACCTGTGGAATAGGTATGTTCATTCTGCACACCTTTATTTAATTTAAAAAAAAAAAATACAATATTCATTTAAATTTTACATTATATTTTTACGATGTTAATTTTAGAAAATAGAGATAAAGTTTTTTCATACCCCAATTGTCTAAGTGCTTAAATATCAATTTAAATAAAATCATACCAGGCAAACATTTCAAGCCATTATACTATATTATTTTATCATTTGATGTATATATTTATTTATATGTGTATTTATTTATATCCAGTTTTGTTCCTAAAAGCATTTAACACTTTCATAGATAAATAGTAAAAGAATAAAATTAAAATAAGTGGAGAAGATGATGGAAGCCAAAAAATTAGAGCAGGAAATATTAGATGATGCCAGGAATACATTCTGTTTTTCACAATGCATAGCATAAGGGCCTATATGTCTTCTAGAAATGGGACAAAAATGAAGATTTATATTTTCTGGCAGCCATTATAAAGAACCTGATACATTTAATTATATGATTATGTGGCAGTATCTTCAACGTAGAAACAAATCAAACAGATGAGAAGTTTTCCTCATGGGCCTTTATAAAAGAGAATACAGTATAACATAATGAAATGTCTTCAATAGCATCTTCACATTAAATATAGCAACACACTGACAAGTTGTCAGTGTAGTCATTAAATTCAGGAAACACTCAGCTTTGTCTGTGCAGGAAGTTTGCTTTAACAAGGATATCATAGAAGCCTTTTTAAAATCCCTAATACTAAAATACACAATAGTGATATTTATGCAATTGATCAACCAAAGAAATATTAAGGAAATAGCTTATTTTTTTCTTCCTAGCATGTGAACATGTTTTCTTGTCAGTATTGCATCATTTGTGTAGGCATTGTGTGGGTGTGACTTGTTATATGCTGAACCTATTTAAGAATTTGGCCAAGGCTATGAATCAGAAAAGTGTAGGAACAATTCCAAGAAATTTTGAGCTGTAGCCTTATTTAAGTTTTTATGCAAAAGTTCATTGTTAAAATGCAATAAAAGGAATTTTAGACTATATAAAGCCTGAGAACATTAAATATCTTTATAGTCCATTTAATAGGTGAAAAATAATACTATAGTCAGTTGTACTTTAAAGAAACATGCATTATCATAATGAAATATGAATATAAAATTCTGTAATGAACACACCAACTATAATGCTATTAGTTATCATTAATGTATGGATTGAAATGTAGTATACCAAACAACTTACATTAATTATTTTAAAGCACAATAAAATTAAACACATGAATACATTTTAAAAATTGTCAGACCAGCCTTCCTTTTATTTCACTTGCCAAGGCATATGTGTACAAAGCATATATTTTAACATCCTTGGATTATAATTGTTTTTTGGCTTTTGTGATAGTAAAGCTTTTAAGTATAGGACTTAAAGTGAATTTTTGAGACTATTAAACCCTTGTTCTCAAGTAACTGATTAACTATCAAAAGCTAGTTTTAAAAAATATATGCTTACATCTTAAAATTTCTTGCAGTTGGTCCTTTGTCTTTAATCAATGTTAAATCTGGGTGATTTTTCAATTCTCTTCAACAAATACTAAGTAATTCTTAATGGAAAATATAAAAGTCCGTATCACCAAAAGTATATTGGAGTAACTCATTCACTTATTGGTCTTCTGGACAGTTTCTAATAATTGAATTAGAATGAATGAAAATCAACCTCTCTGATCAGGAGAGGTATATATTTTAGATACAGTAATTTGAAGCCATATCAACTTCTGTAGTTGGTCAAGGGGAAGAGAGCTGAGTGACATGTTTTCTTTTGCTAGGAATGTTCACCCGTAAGACCTGAAAAGAACAAGTCAGGTGGTGAACAAATAAACAGTTACTTCTCTAGACTATGAATGAAGACTTCTATTATATGCTATATTGGTACTGGTGAGTGTTAGAAGAGCTGGGGAAAAGCAGTTGTTTTGTGCAAGTGTCTTCTTGAAAGTCTGGGCTATCTTTTTCTTTCGTCCCTGACTGCTTATTTTTGCTTTCTATACTCCATTCTTTTCAACCCTACTAAAGGCTATGTTCTAGAAAGGGAGTTCTCAAAGTGTCGTTGGTCTGCCCCTGGGCATCTGTAAGATGCCTTCACAGTGTTCTCAGGGTTGAAAGTTTTTTATAATAATACTGAGATACTAATTGTAAAACATCTCACACCTTGGCACAATAAAGCAGTGACTCCAAACCATGTCAGTAGTCATTGTATTCTTCACAATCACACACTTGCAGATTTAAAAATATATAAGTTTTACTTATGAACGCCTTTGGTTAGGTGTTAACAATGATTAAATTTTCAAATCTCATCCTTGAGCACATTTCTTTTTAATATTTTGTGGTGAAATGAGAAGTATACATATAGAACTTTAGCTGCATACCAAAAAATGATGCTTGTGTCAAGAGAGCACTTGTGTGATTTTTTTTTTTTTGAGTTTTAAGCTGAACTAGCCACTTTTTTAATGAAACATTTTTACTTGAAAGAATGATTAACAAACTATGGTTACTTAAAATTGGGTATTTACTATTGATTTCTAAAAAATGAAGTGGAGTAAGCCTGTTATTTCATGTAAAACAGCTGACAATATTTTTTGAGCTTGGAAGCAAAAAATTAGAATTGTGGAAAATTTTTATTTGCCACGGTAAGCTTGATATCTTCTTAATACTCAAAATATTTTTTTCTGATAAGATTGCTGCTATCAATATTTGGATAATCTGAAAAACACATGATATTTTCAAATTAGACATGAGTACGAAATCCATTTAAAGTGTAAGGTAGAGCAGTGGGTTATTACATTACAGAATATGGACAATTATTTGATATGGCTTCAGATTCTCCATTGCAACTAATCTTTAAGAAACTGCCACTTCTCAAGTTCTTGTGTCATATCAAAGAAAAATAACCACAACTATATGAAAAAGCTATTAAAATACTCCTCACTTTTTGAAATACATATTTGTGTGTGGTCTGATTTTTCTTGCTATACTTCAAGTAAAACAACTTAATTGTAACAGATTGAATGTAGAAGCAGATACGATAATCCAACTGTCTTCTATTAAGCAAGATATTAGAGATTTGTGAAAATGTAAATCAGTGTCACTTTTTCATTTTTTGGAAAATATAGTTATCTGTATAAAAATACTTATACTCACATTTACCAGGTTTATTAACATTAATGAATTAATAAATAGTTATTTTTCTGTATTAATTTCTAATATGATAAATATCAATAGATATAATCCACAAAAACAAAAGCACTTTGGAGTCTTCAGTAATTTTTAACACTGTCAAGAATTCCTGAGAACAAAAAGATTGAGAACTGCTTTCCTGGAAGATTCTGATAAAGATAGTTCTACTTGTGGTGAAGTCATACTCACAAAATGACTTGACTTTGTTTTCATCCTCTTGGTCATGTGATATTGATTAGGAAAAAGGAAACTGTTTGGTTATCTTCATTTATTTGCCTTTGTAATTGTAATTGAGTGAAAACTCTGAGTCTGGTTATTAGGGTTAGTGCCATTTGCTTAGCTTTGAAGGTTGTGTGTGTGTGTGTGTGTGTGTGTGTGTGATGGCAATCATTTAATCTACTGCTTAAAAATTGATAAATACTGCCCCTT